AGAAGAGGGGATTATAGGGTTTTGGACTGAACCATTTGAGTTCTCTTGTAAACTGCTTTCGGGAATAACTAAGGTGTTAATTACTTGATTATTGAAGTATCCTTTCCGAAAATAAGTTTTTTTGGGAAAGTTTAATTTAAGAACTAAACTCTGACCTTTTTCTATACAATTTTCGATTGCAGAATGAAGTTTGTCACACTTTTCGCTTTCTAGTTCTATTTCGTTAAAATCTATATCAAAGTTCTGGGTCTCGTCTTGAATAAAATGGTTTTCAATTTTAACTCGAAAATTTTCTGCACCTTTTCAGGTAATTTCCACAGGTTTTATTTTTAAAGTAGAAAGTTCAAAATGAAAAGGTTCCAAATAGATTTTTCCTTCCTTGTTGTCCTCCAAAGTAAGTTTATCATCAATTCCGGTCATAGAAAATCCTTTCATATCGGTCGGAACACATAAATTTCAGTAAGTTGTTATAGGACTAAAACCCTTGCCTATTCCTCCTTCATTGTTGGTATTGAGAAAAAAGTCATTCTCATTTTTACTGGTTTTAATTTTTAAATACTTATATTCGACCTTTTTGTCAAGAAATGCAGAAAGAAAAAGCAGAGGAGTTTCTAAATCAAAATTATACGTTATATTTCTTTCCATGTCATCGCTTTTACCACTCTGCCTAATATTCAAAAAATATTTAGCCATTTATCGCTTCGAAAACTGAGTTTTTTTGCGGGCTTTTTTAAACCCAATTTTTTTAGGTTCGACACGACGAGCATCCCGAGTAAGGAGCGAAAAACTTTTCAAAGTGGTTTTGTATTCCGGTGAAATTTTTAACATGGCTTGTGCTACTCCTAACCTAATGGCTTCAGCTTGGGCATGAAATCCACTTCCTTTTACTCGCACTAACAAATCATATTCATTTTCTTTGCTGAATAATTTGAGAGGTTTAAAAATATCTTCATAAAGCGAAGGTTCCATATAAAAGTATCCTTTTAAGTCTTTTTCTTTTCCATTTTTGGTTCTGACTTGGGCTTGTCCTTTACCTTCTTTTAGATAAACCCGAGCAGTGGCTTCCTTACGACGTCCTACGCCAATATAGTAATTATTATTCATTATTTATTAATTTATTTTTTATTTCTTTTTCGAATAAAGTAAACAATTATTCCTCCTAAAATAACTGCTCCGGCTCCGAGAGCTAAACCAATTGCTAATTTGTGGTCTGGATTTTTAGTGGAGTTGGAGTCAGAATTATTTTGTAAATCACTTAAAGAAAGTGAATGATTGGGTTGATTTTGAATTAATTTTTTATACTTTTCTAGTTCAGAGTTATTAACCTTTTGTCCTTTTTGTGAATTATCATATTCAACTACCAGTTTACCATTATCCAAAGTAATTTTGGTAATGTGGTAAGTTAGGAAATATTGAAGTAATTGGTTTTTATCGGTTGGACTAATTTGATTAGTTTTGTTGCTTGCTGGTTTTCCTCCTCCACCGGTTTTTGGCGAAGTTGGAGCCGGATAATCTTTTATTGATAAATAATGCGGACAGTCTTTATCGCAACAAGTTTTAATATTCTGATTTTTGCTTAACTCATTTTTGATTTCAGAAGCACGACTTTTTGCTAAAATTCCTTGCTCGTTTGCTTCATGGTCTAAATATTGATTTTGGCAGGACTTTTCATGCCAATAATTAAAAATTTCCTCCATTCTTTCAGCCGTACTTTCTCAATATTGTCGACAAAGTTTCTCGCGGTGCGGTCATTGTTCTTGAAATGTTGTTTCCACCAAAGTTCGATAATAATTTTCTTTTTCAGTTGGAGTTAGTGGCTGACCGGTCTCTAAAAATAAATACCAATAAACCTCTAATTGACTTCTTTCACTACCCTTGATAGGAGCGTTCTTTGTCTCAAACTCGCCTTTGGCAATTCCGATTTTAATTTCTCGTCCGCTGTTGGCATTTTTTTCTCCCACATAAAGATACATATTCCCATCTTGTCCGTCAATTATTTCCACTCAATCGGAAAAACTGCGATTAGCGGAGTTATAAATTTTGGCTTCATTTTCGCGAAAATAGTCGCGGATTATTTGTTTTAAATGGTGAAAGTTTTCGGCTGCTAAATATCGTCCCAAAAGGTAGTTTTCTCCTTCTTTTTTTATTTTTTTTAAAGAATATCCTCTACTGTCAAGGGACTTTCGTGCCGGTGCTGCTTCGGGGAAAATTTGACATAATTCGTCTCAAACTTCATCCATATCCAATGCATTAGTCAAAAATTTACTTCCATCACTGTCATTGTTGTTTAATTTTTCTCCTCTAACTCAGTTATTATTTACTGACTTTATATCTATTTCTCATTCTCCATTGCCAATTATAATTCCTCATTCGTATTCTTTGGTATTGCTATCACTTGCTGGTCCGAGAAAATATTTCTCTCGCAATTTTCATTCTCCACCAGATTTTTTATATTCTTTGACTTTGGCAATTAGTTCTTGCCCGTTATTTACTTTTATTTTTGTAGTTTCTAGGTTTTTATTCATGGTTTTATTATTATTAATTAGTTATAATATGTTAGCAGAGAGAGAGAGAGAGAGAGAGAGAGAATTCGCGAAGTTTATTATCTATATCTGTTACTTTCTTTCTACACTACTTATATTAATTTTATAGTTTTTTTAATAACTAATTGTTAATCTTTTTTCCACTTCCTTCTTGTCTAATAAATAAATAATGCAAGGCAGTTCTGAACCTTTATCTCTTCCAGTTAAGGCACTTCTCACTAGCATATAAAACTCTTTTGTGGGTGCTTGGTTGCTTATGCAAACTGATTTAAGCACTGATTTAATATTTCCTATTTCTCACTTCTCTAATTGGCTTAACTCTTTCTGCAATTCCTTTAATCATAAAATCTTATTTTCCCCAACTTCAATTTTTGGACTGGGTCTTTGAAAAAAGTAATTAACTAAACTAACTAACTCCTGAAAGTAATTCAATTGAGGGCGGAACAAAAGAGCAATTTGAATAGTTTTCTCTTTTTCTCCAACCAGTAATTTATATTCTTTTTTTAATACTTGTCAAGAATATTCAGCAAACTCGCTCTCTTCTAACTTTTGGATATAGTAATTGTTATATCAGTTAAGTTTTTCCAAATCATATACTGCTCCACTGGCATTTAATCCTTCTAAATTAAATTCCTTGATGGCTTCTGATAAACTAAATATTTCTTGGGTAGTGCTTGGGTGTCAACCTAAAAGTAATAAGTAATTAGTTATCGCTTGTGGCAAATATCCCTTGGTTCGTAGTTGGCTAATTAACTGCCATTGGCTTGTTTCTTGGTCTCGTTTAGAAAGTTTTTTTCTTTGTTTATTGAGAATGATAGAAACATGCCCAAAAAGAGGTGGTTTTCACCCAAATTCCTCGTATAAAACTAATTGCTTGCCAGTATTAGATAAATGTTCCTCGCCCCGCAAAACATGGCTAATTTTCATTAAATAATCATCAATGACACAAGCAAAATTATAATTAGGGATACCGTTTTGTCGAAAGAGAACAAAATCTTCAATATCCTTTCCTGCGAATTTTACTTCTCCTCGCACTAAATCATGGAAAAGATAATTTCTTTCTTGGGGAATCTTTAAGCGGATAACATAAGGAATTTGTTGGCGGATAAAAGTTTGAACCTCTTTATCATTTAAATTCAAGCATTTTCGCGAATATTGATAATTACTTCTTTTGTTTTCTTTGATAAATTGTTCTTTTTCCTGAGCCAATTTCTCCGGCGAACAAAAACAAAAATAAGCCTTTTTTTCTACTAATAATTTTTCGATATATTTTTTGTAATTATCTAACCGTTGGGTTTGTCGATAAGAACCATAATCGCCAGGCTGAAAAACTGACTCATCTGGTTTTATTCCCATTCATAATAAGTCTTCATATAGACTATTAATAAATTCTTCTTGGTTTCTTTCTAGGTCAGTATCTTCAATCCGGAGAATAAATTGCCCCTTATTCTTTTTGGCAAAGAGATAGCAAAAAAGAGCCGTGCGAGCCCCCCCAATATGTAATTCCCCAGTAGGACTGGGAGCAAAACGAGTTCTGACTAAATTAGGATTTCTTTCCACGAGAGGCGACTAACGTTCTTTCAATTTTTTTAAGTTTGTCTAACTCTTTGCGGATCTGCCAAATCCGATAAGCAGCAAACATTATAGGAACAAGATAACTTATATTAATTAAGTATCAGTAGGGACCAAACTTTTCTTTATCTCCAGCCTCTTTTGCTCCTAATAAAATAACTTTAATTACTTCTCCACTAATGGTTAATACCCCAAATTTCTTCAAAGTCTCTTTGCAATGTTCGTTCGACTCAGTGGCCTTAGTTATTATGCTATCCCTTTTTTTATAACTTATTCCTTCTGCTTTATTAATCGCATAACACATTTGATTAAAGGGAGATTTCAACAAAGCAGAAACAAAACCATCCATGCAAAATAAGAGACCTTGAATTATTCCAGCTCCCAAAACAATAAATCAGATCTCTTTAGCTCCACCACATCACCCTCGGAACTCTAAAAAGTCTCTTACTAAACCAAATATTAAAAATAATCAAACTAAGTAGAAAAAAACATAAAAAAATACTAAACTAAATAAATATTTTCAATACTTTTTAAATTGTCCTTCAATCCTTTCAAGCGATTTTTTATCAATTCCTTTAACCTCTGTTTCTATTTTTTTGTTTTTAATTATTTCTTTGCTTTCTATTTTTTTATTACCCATATAGGATGACATTTATAATTTTTTTAAACGGTTAACTTTCAGCGACCTTTGGCTCGCCGAGCCACAATTACTGAATAATTTTTTTTCATTCTTTTGCGAAAACCGTGTTTTCTTACTCTTTTAATTTTGCTGGGTTGATAGGTTCTTTTCATATCTGTTGTTATCTAATAATAAATTTTATAGCATTCATTATAATTATATTTTTTGCTTATATCTCATTTTGTTTGTAAATAATAAAATTATTGCTTTTTTTTGTAAAGAAAAAAAAAGAAAGTATTGAGGTGTCTACGAATATTGTCTTTTAACTCAATTTTAGGAACTTGGGCTTTGATTTCTTCAATTAATTTTTGACATTTTTCGTGAGCGAGATGAACTCTTCCCTTACCAACCATAACTAAGTTGACTTTTACTGTCGCACCTTCTTCGATTCATTTTTGGATTTTCCCCATTTTAATTTTTAAGTCATTCTTTCCAATGTTGAAAGAAATCCGCATTTCTTTGCAAACATTTTCCTTGGGTTTCTTTTTATTTTTGCTGATTTGGTAGTAATTAACTAGTTTGCAAACTGGGGGGTTAGTCGAGGGGGAAACGCAAAGCAAGTCTAAACCGAGACTCTTGGCTTGGTTTAATGCTTCCTGCCGGCTAACAATGGCCTTTTCTTCTTTGCTAGTAACCAGCAGCACCTGAGAAAAGGGAATATTCTCGTTGAGAAACTGGGAATTATCGTTTTTTTTATCCTTTAGAGCCATGCTTTTTCGTTTTTTAATTAAGAGTAATTCTCATGCTAAAA